TCTCATTTTATTCCTAACTAAGATAGCTACAAAGATAAAAACACTACACACCTCCCTCACAATTTCTTCCCAAGGGAATTCCTTGTTGGCATCAAGTTATTTTCCCTAAAATGGGTTTGTTGAATTTTACCCTGGCAACGTAAATTGATAACTTATCTTCACAGGTATAGACAAAGCACTGAACTAAAAAGTCATTTCTCTGCTCACCTGATATCTGCATATCTGGTTGCTTCCTCCTCCCGATTGTTTATGTAAAAATGCAGATTCACTGAGCCATACTAAGGCATAAGTGACTACTCCGCCACTGCCTCTCACATGTAAATTGCGTACTCAGTGAAAGGCTGATCAGACTGAAGAGTGCAGCCTTTTGTCCCTTATCTACCTATGACCTGGAAGCCCTCACTTTGAGATGTCCCATCTTTTTGGACTGGACCAGTGTACAGCTTACACATACTGACTGATGGCTCATGTCTTCCTGAAGCGTATACAACCAAGCTGTGCCCCAACCACCTTGGGCATGTATCCTCAGGATCTTCTGCGGCTGTCACGGGCATGTCTTTAGCCTTGGCAAAATAAATTTCTAAATCAATTGAGACCTGTCTCAGATACTTTTGGGTCACATAACCTATGTACACCCTCCTGTACACTTTAAGTCACCTCTAGATTACTTGCAACACCTGATACAAAGTAAATGCTATGTATATAGTTGTTGTATTGTTTTGGGAATGATGACAAGAAAAAAGCCGGCATATGTTCAGGACATATTATAACCATTGCAGGTGTAACTACATTTGTGATCTGGGATTGGTCTCATCTGAGGATGTGGAACCCGCAGGTATGGACAGCCAAATGTACTGGCAGAAAAAAGTCGAGTCAGAATGAGGTAACAGCTACGAGAAAGGCGGCCAACTCAAGTTAGAGAAAATAGGCTGTGTTGCTGGGGATCACCCTAACAGGGCACCAGCCTGCCTCATATGAGGACTCAGCGCTCCAGCAGGGAGGCCCACACAGGTAGGTGCATCCGCCAAGCCCAGAAGGCTGTATGCCTTGCATGAGGACCTTGGAGCAGGGGTGCAGTGTGGGTTGGAGTGGGGTTGGGGTGGCACGGAGTAGTCTCAGCACCGGCCCCCTACTCTTAGCTTCCCTGAGTTTTCACCAGCTTGTCACCAGGAGAAGCTGAAGAACGTGCACCAGCAGCCACGGTGTGTTCCTTGTGACTCTGAGGGTTTGTAGAGAATCTAGGGGGATTTTTAAGACATCTGGTACCAGAATGGGATACCAGTTTCAGAGGCTTTTCCTAAGGCCTAAAGTTGACAGAAACACTGTGAAAGGCCTCTAAAGTAAGAGGGATAATCAATGGGAAGACTCAAAAGGTATCTATGGCATAACAAGAAATAAATTCTTAAGCCAGGCACGGTAGCTCACACCTATAATCCCAGCACTTTGGGAGGCTGAGGCGGCAGGTCACCTGAGGTCAGGAGTTCCAGACCAACCTGGCCAACATGGAGAAACCCCGTCTCTACTCAAAATACAGAATCAGCTGGGGGTGGTGGTGCATGCCTGTAATCCCAGCTACTTGGGAGGCTGAGGCAGGAGAATTGCTTGAACCCAGGAGGTGGAGGTTGCAGTGAGCTGAGATCACACTATTGCACTCCAGCCTGGGCAACAAGAGCAAAACTCTGTCTCCAAAAAAAAAAAAAAAAAGGAATAAATTCTTATGGAACACCAAATAAAAGTTGCTTAGTTATACCAAGTAAAAAGAAAAAGTTTATATATTTGATCCTTGTCCTCAGTACCTGTCAAAGAGTTCCTAAAACTCTTGGAATTTCCTGAATGATAACAACATCTTTTGTTATTTATAAGGAGCCCCTTTTGATCATACCAGACTTTATGCTAATGAGGTGAGTCAGGTGGGATCAATCACCAGAAAGACCAAGCATGGAGAGGATTAGAGAGTAGGATATTTCGGCCCCACCCTCCAGTTTCCAGGAAACAGGGAGGGGCGATGGAGATTAAGCTCTGTAAAAACATTTGAACAATCCTCAATGAGCTTCCAGGTCACTGAACACACAGAGGTGCTGGGAGGGTGGTGTTCCTGGAGAGCGCTAGGGAGCTCGGTGCCACCTCCCACATACCCTGCCCTGTCTACCTCTTCATCTGTCTGTTCACAAAATGTGTTCCTTGAGTTCTGTGAGACATCCTAGCAGGTTAGTCAAACTGGAGGAGAGGGTGGTGGGAACCCCGATTTATAGCCAGTTGATCAGTATAGGTGACAACCAACTGCTTGCAAAGTGGAAGCAGTCCTGTGGACTAAGCCCTCTACTGAGACGAGCTGGACACTGTGTGAAGGACACTTAAACCCCTTTCAAGAGAAAAATGAGCCCGTGTTGTAACTACAGGAGGGCTGATCCCTTCAGGAGATTTGATGCTGACAGTTCCCACCTAAATCCAAGCCCAGCAGCTACCACCAAAGCATCAACCCGTTCTCTCTGCCCCTGTGGTGCCTACCCCACATCCATTCCCTACACCACTGCCAATGCCACCTTTTCAACAATAAAAATGAGGTCATGCATCTTCCACAGCTGAAAGTTCTCCAACAGCTCCTAAGCTCACTTCATAAATAAATAAATAAACAAGCCCAGGGGTCAGCAAACTTTTTCTGTAATGAACCACATATTTCAGGTTTTGCCTGACACTGTGTCTAGTGCACTGTTGTGCTGCTGTGATGGGCTACACTACAGCGAGGTCACAAAGGAAACAAAGTTTGAGACAATCAATCACCCTCAGGGGCATGCAATTGTGAAAGTAGTCATAGACAACATGCAAAAGAACAGGCATGGCTAGTCCAAGGAAACGTTATTTGGCCCATGGCTGTACACACCAGGCTCTCACATCAGCCTTTGCATTTGCTCTTCCCCCTTACTGAAATGCTCTTCTACAGATTTTTGCATGGATGGCTCCAAGTGCTAGATAACGCAGTTAACAGATTAGACATATATTTGGAGAAGCAGCAGGATCCTAAAGCAAGAAAATAATTTGAAGAGTTTTTAGGTATTTCCATAATAGTGTTCAAGTAGCTGTGACTGGGAAGAAAGCAGAATTTTGTTGACTTTGTTTGCACTTTTTTTTTTTTTGCAACAGGATCTCACTCTGTCACCCAGACTGGAGTGCAGTGGCGTGATATCAGCTCACTGCAACCTCTGCCTCCCAGGCTCAAGTCATCTCCAGCATCAGCCTCCTGAGTAGTTGGGATTACAGGCACACGCCACTACCCCTGGCTAATTTTTGGGTTTTTAGTAGAGATGGAGTTTTACCATGTTGGCCAGGCTGGCCTTGAACTCCTAACCTCAAATGATCCACCAGCCTCAGCCTCCCAAAGTGCTGGGATTACAGGTGTGAGCCACCGCACATGGGCATTTGCATTTATTTTAAGCCTTAGTTGATTATTTTTATTTTGAATTACTTGGGGTAGAAGAGAGAGAAGACACTGTAGTATCACCATGTTTAAGACCTCTAAAGTGTCTCTTTAAAAATTATTTTTTAAACTTTTATTTTAGGTGTGGGTACATGCGAAGGTTTTTTTTTACATAGGTAAACACATGTCACGGGTTTGTTGTACATATTATGTCTTCACCCAGGTATTAAGCCCAGTACACAGTAGTATCTTTTCTGCTCCTCTCCCTTCTCTCCCCCTCCTACCTCAAGTAGACCTCAGTGTCTTTTGTTTCCTTCTTGTGTTCAGAAGTTCTTATAATTCAGCTCCCACTTATAAGTGAGAAAAGGTGGTATTTGGTTTTGTGTTGCTGTGTTTGTTAAGAATAATAGCCTTCAGTTCCAACCATGTTCCCACAAAAGACATGATCTGGTTCCTTTTTATGGCTGCATCGTACTTCATGGTGTATATGTCCCACATTTTCTTTATCTAGTCTGTCATTGATGGGCAGTTAGGTTGATTCCATGTCCTTACTATTGTGAATAGTATTGCAGTGAACATTCGTGTGCATGTAAGACCTCTAAAGTCTCAATGTGGCCCTGCTGGCTCCTTCTGGTAATTCTGGCCTCACGGCAAATGTTGCCTTTTCAGCGGAAGTTTCTCCCACTACAATCTTGGTGGTACCCTTCCACACCTATTGCATTTAGCTATTTCACTTTCTCACAGCATTCAATCACAACCTGAAATTGTTGTGCTCATTCATGTATGTCTTTGTTTATTGTCTTTCTTTGCCTGTCGTCCTCAGAAGCACAGGAATCTTGTTTGTCTTTTTCTGTGCATCTGGCACTGAGTACAGCGCCTGGCACACAGAACATGTGAGAAAACATTTGTTGACTGAACGAATGGGACAGATGCCTAACTAAAGAAGGCAACAGCCAAAACGTTCTAGAACGCGATCTGATTATATGTGAAAATCTCTGGTTGTCCTTCATAAGAGCCTTAAAAGTGACTTAGAAACCAGTTTAGAGAACTGCATCAACTTTAGCTAATAGAGTTAAATTAATTTAGGTCAAAGCAAATCTGTCAACAGAAGAATTTGGATTTGGGCCAAATTAGACTTGGGAGAAAATTTTGCTATGACATCTTTAGAAAATGTTTTCAGCTCTTTATTTTTTATCCACTTGGTCTGTTTTCCAAAAATGTTTACTTTTGTCTTCCGCTTTTTTTTTTTTTGAGACAGTCTCACTTTGTCACCCAGGCTGGAGTGCAGTGGTGCAATCTCTGCTCACTGCCACCTCTGCCTCCCAGGTTCAAGTGATTCTTCTGCCTTGGCCTCCCAAGAAGCTGGGATTATACAGGTGCCCACCACCATGCCCAGCTAATTTTTGTATTTTTAGTAGAGATGGAGTTTCACCATGTTGGCCAGGCTGGTCTCGAACTCCTGACCTTATGATCCATCTGCCTCAGCTTCCCAAAGTGCTGGGATTACAGGTGTGAGCCACCGTGCCTGGCCTTCTTTTTAAGATTTTAATTAACTTGTGGCTTATTCTCTAGAGAAACATAGCAATTGAAACATCTAACAATACAGAATTTATTGAAATTAAATCAAATTTCCTTCATTTCTATGTATGAATATGGAAACAATTCAATATGCAGAGCATTCATTCAGCATATAGCGAACAGCTGATTTGCGTCAGGCTCTGTGCTGGGCACTGGAAACACTATGGTAAACAGGTCCCTGCCCTCATACTCCTGCGGGAGAGAGACATGAAACGGACCTATTGAAACAAACAGACAAAAATGTCAAGTTTTAGTAGGGACTAAGTAGGAAATAAACAAGGAGCTGAGATGAACACTGCTGGATGTCTTATTAGGTTGGTGCAAAAGTAGTTGCTGTTTTTGCCATTCCTTTCAGTTGCAGAAGTAGGGATATCTAAGAGAAGGCCGTGGCAGTGAGAAATGGTGGTGGTCTGAACTGGTGATGGCTGTGGACAGAAGAGGAAGAGGAGAGGTTGGAGTTACAATTTGGCAGTAGAACTGACAGGTTTGCTGGTGAATTTGATGTAGAAATTGAGGATATGAGAACATATCAGTTAGTGTACAGTTGAAAAAACAGACATCATTCTAGTATTGTTTTGAGATGGAGTTTTGCTCTTGTTGCCTAGGGCTGGAGTGCGATGGCAGGATCTTGGCTCACTGCAACTTCTGCCTCCCGGGTTCAAGAGATTCTCCTATCTTAGCCTCCCAAGTAGCTGGGATTACAGGCATGTACCACCACGCCCAGCTAATTTTTGAATTTTTAGTAGAGACAGGGTTTCACCATGTTGGACAGGCTGGTCTTGAACTCTTGGCCCCAGGTGATCCACCTGCCTTGGCCTCCCAAAGTGCTGGGTTTACAGGCATGAGCCACCGTGCCTGGCCTCATTCTAGTATTTTTATATAGAGAGGATTTAACATAAGGAATCGATCTTACAAGTGTTGGGAAGTTTGGAGGAACTAAAAGGGGAACATGTGCTAACCTAGAGATAAGTATCTGCAGGAAGTCGCTGCCACTCGAAAGGCAGGAGGAATAGGAGGGAGGTGGTGATGTTATCAGAGCCCAGGAATGTCTGGCATCTGACAGTGCAGGAAGCTACTGCTGCTGCTGGAGCTGGCCACTGCCCGACACTGATGCGGTTGCTGGAACTGCTGAAGGCTGCTGGAGCCCCCGCAGCTGCCAGTCACTGTAGCACCCCTTGCCAGAGCTTAAACAAAACAGAACAAAACAACAAGAAAAACTGGTCTCTCTCTCATTTCATGCAGCTTCCCACCAGTGCTTCCCACTGGAAGCATCTAAGTAGGCCAGCTGGCAAGGGAATCTGGGAATCTGGCAAGGATTTCAGCCACCTCCAGCCAAGCAATACACAGGATGTTCGGAATGGTACTTAGCTCAAACAAGCCAACGGCCAGCCCATGGAGGAATGAAGGATTTGTTTTTAAGTAGTAAAACAATCCCATAGCCTTAAAAAAGTCCTTTTACTTTCTTTCTTCAAAAGCAATATGTGGCCAGGTGCGGTGGTTCACACCTGTAATCCCAGCACTTTGGGAGGCTGAGGCAGGTGGATCACAAGGTCAGGAATTCAAGACCAGTCTGGCCAACACAGTGAAATATTGTCTCTACTAAAGATACAAAGAATTAGCTGGGCGTGGTGGCACACACCTGTAATTCCAGCTACTCAGGAGGCTGAGGCAGGAGAATCGCTTGAACCCAGGAGGCAGAGGTTGCAGTAAGCCGAGGTTGCGCCATTGCACTCCAGCCTGGGTGACAGGGTGAAACTCCATCTCAAAAAGAAAAAAGAGCAGTATGTGTCCATTAGAAAAAAATTAGAAAACACAACAAGAGAACATAAGAAGGTCCATATTCCCACTTACTCAAAAACAATCATTAATAACATCTTGGCACCTCTCTCTCTGTGTCTCACACACACAGACTCTTACTCTTATATTCCATTTTCTAACCCATTATACTAAATTTATACAAAAAAACATTGGCTGGACATTTACTTTGTTCCAACTAGCTTCCAGTGTTTTTTATGTTCTACCAACATTTTCCTGTTATAAATATTAAGAAAGGAATTGTCTGAAAACAAATTTGCAATTTAAGGAAACCATTTGTGAATAATACAATTGTAACCTCCAATTTGACTATTATGTGATTGTTCACTTAGGTTCAAAAAAGAAAACTATTTATTTTACCTATAAGGTAAAATGCCAAGTCTTATCCTGTTCATTTCCTTTCTGAGGAAGAAAAACGCCATTAGTAGAATTTCTGAGCTGGAAATGGGCAGGCTAGAAGTGGAGAGGAGCCACAGATACAGACTGCACGAGAGCCACCCTGTTGCCCGTCTGGTTTCCATGGAGTCAAGACTTCTGATGGGCAAGCTGGTCCTCAGGAATGCATAGAACGCAAGATACCCAGGCAAAGTGTCTTTAAGGGTAGGACTGTTTATTATGGCTATGGGGTGACTACAGATTTCTTTGGTGTTATCTTGTTAGAATGCTTTTGGCTGCTAGTAGCTGAAAACCGTGACTTAATTTGGCTTTACAAATAAGGATATGTATTATCTCACATAACTAGTAGTGCAGAGGTAGGACAGGCTCCAGGGACAGTAAGATAGGCAGCTCAGTGATGTCACCAAGGTCCCAAGTTCTTTCAGTACTCTGCTCTGCCTTCCTCTGTGTTGGCTTCGTCCTGAGACTCCTGCTACATTGGAGTACAGTGGCACGATCTCGGTTCACTGCAGTCTCTACCTCCTGGGTTCAAGCAATTCTCCTGCCTCAGCCTCCCGAGTAGCTGATATTATAGGCACGCACCATCATGCCCAGTTAATTTTTGTATTTTTAGTAGAGACGGGGTTTCACCATATTGATCAGGCTTGAACTCCTGACCTCGTGATCCACCCGCCTCAGCCTCCGACAGTGGGATGGGATTACAGGCACGAGACACCACGCCCGGCCAAGTTTTGTATTTTCATAACCAACTACCAGAATTAATTTGTTCAGTTCTAACCCAGCCCCCCAAAAATAGGGATGCTATAAGTACTTTGAAATATAGATAAATAATCTTAAATACTTAATTCACTATTTTTTCTAAGATAACATTTATAAGTAATATTCATTTGTATCTATAAGTTTTAATTAAGTGGGCCAGGTACAGTGGTTCATGTCTGTAATCCCAGCACTCTGAGAGGCGGAGGTGGGCAGACTGCTTGAGTGCAGGAATTCGAGACCACACTGGGCAACACTGCAAAACCCACTTCTACAAAAAATAGAAAAATTAGCCGGTGTGGTGGTATGAGCCTGTAGTCCCAGCTACTTGGGAGGCTGAGGTGGGAAGTCACTTGCACCTGGGAGGCAGAGGATGCAGTGAACCAAGATTGCACCACTCACTCCAGCCTGGGTGAGATTACTAAGTTTTAATTAAGCAGTTTCAAGTAAACTGTAATAACTCTGAATTATATTGAATGTTTAAAACACTTTTAAGGTAGGAATAGACTAACTCCTTTTTATTTTTAGCCAAGGAGCCAATTTGATGATTTCATAAATTTCTTAATTAAAAGGAAAACATAAACACAATAGACTTTAGTAAATTGGTGGTTTTCAATTCTATTCAAATGAATTAAAACAATTTACTAAAAGCCAGCTGAATACAGACTAAATACAAGTGGCTACACTTGTGCATTAGTCATGTGCGAACTGAAAAGTACAGGGAATATGAAAAAGAACACACATCTATGTTAAAATACCTGACACTGAAAAACTGCTAACTTTAGGATCTTAAAATGTTTAAGATAGCTACTTCAATCACATTGCAAATATGTGAATAAGGTTTTAATATGCACTTTATTCTCATGGAAAATTTTTATTTTAGCTTAAACAACATCTATAGACAAGAGTTAGAAAGACATTGTCTCCTGATATGATCCTAGTACCAATTTGATTAAGGAAGACATGTATATCAGAGAATATATATAACTCTAATATGTAAGAATATACAGAATTACATAATTCTAATGTGTAAGAATTATGTAATATATTCTAATGTGTAAGAATTATGTAATATATATGCATATAACTCCCAATACTTGTGGCCAATAATACCACTTTGCTGGCAGTAACTATACCAGCCAAGCAGATCTGAATATTAGAACTCTATGGGACTCTTCCAGAAAGGGTTAAATAAAACTAAGGCACAGTAACAAAAGTTTGAATTCACAGTTAAACAAAATTATTTGGGACAAACACATAAGAGAAATGCAAATTTTTCAGATTCTAACACAATTCTAAACTGGCTGATTTAAGAGATGCTCTCCCTTAAACAAGGCAAAACTGAGATCCCATTGTATGAGTACTAAAAATTCATTAGCATCTTTTTTTTTTCTAATTAAAAAAGTTAACCCCCAAATTCTGGGAAAGTACCTTTACAAATAATTTGCATCTGGCTACTCCATAAACCTTCAGTAGTTTCAACTGGAGAGCATCCTCCTTGATGGCAAAGACCATGCAGTGTTTGGCATCAAGCAGTTGCTCATGAAATAACTGACAAAGAATGAATGAATATGCTGTGCTAGACACTGTGTAGTGGACATGTAGCACTCTTCTCCCTTTCCTGACACACTTTCCTCTGGAGGTCCAAACCGTTTCAAGAAAGCTGCCTCAATCTCTAGCTTCAGGTATAAAACATTGGTCCTAGGTTAAGGCAGTCAGTGTCCTCCACATTTCTTGGCCAAATTAACTGAGTCAAGAACTGCTACCTGACCTAATCTACTGCAATTAAGAGTCTCAGGACTTTGGTGGAGCACAATGGGATAAAAGCACTCTCTTGGCTGGGCACGGTGGCTCACACCTATAATCCCAGCACTTTGGGAGGCCAAGGCAGGTGCGTTACTTGAGGTCAGGAGTTTAAGACCTGTTTGGCCAACATAGTAAAACCCCATCTCTAATTAAAATACAAAAATTAGCCAGGTATGGTGGCATGTGCCTGTAATCTCAGTTACTGGGGAGGTTGAGCCAGGAGAATTGCTTGAACCTGGGAGGCGGAGGTTATAGTGAGCCAAGATTGGGCTATTGCACTCCAGCCTGGGCAATAGAGCAAGACTCCCTCTCAAAAAAAAAAAAAAAAAAAAAATTCAGGGTGTTTATGAATCATTAGGGAATCATTTTAAGCTTATCCCATTTCTCTTTATTAAGTACAAAGATGTTCTGTATTTGAATCTGTAATTTTATTCATGATTGGTACTGCTTAGAAAGTCAAGGCAAATTTGAGTACAGCCAGAAGACTGATAAGCATAGCCATCAGGGATCTTTTAAGAAACATAAATTTCCAAATAAGCGGTATCCCTTTCAAAGTGGCTACCTTGGAAGTCATTTGTCTCTAAAAAGTCAATTCACAATTAAAAGCAAAAGATACAGCATCAATGATCATACTTACCAAAACTATGCCATAGAAAATTCCAAAGGAGGAATTCCAAAGTCGTTTTAAGTAATACATTATCACCAAAATAAGTGACAACCCTGATAGAGATATCACTTGGATATGAAGTATACAATTTTGTTAAAAAATCATATTCCTTAGATTATTTAATAATCTTTCACATAACCAAGTCCATGTGTTTCTATTTTCAAGTCAAGATCAATTCATGCTTGAAACATGCTCTTCTAACTCAACAACTCTTTTCTCTCATTTCATTCAAGTTCTCAAATCAGGCTCCTCTGTGATTGAAGAATTTAAGTTTACAGAAAGGTTAAGAAAAAACTCCCACTGCAGTTAGAAAATTTGGAGATGACATTATACTCATCCAATTAGTAGCTGAAAGTTGCTGGACAGCTTTAGAGAAATAAAACATAGTGGAATGAGTATATCTGACCAGCTTTTCCTAGAGAAAACAGATGCCAGAGAAAAGGAATGCTCTAAAGAGCAGATTGCAGTAACTAAAGAGTCTAACAGCAGAGATAGGAAGAAGTGCTGCAGCTGATCATGAGTCCCAGGAACTATGTAGTGGTTTTCCTTCACTACATTCTCAGCACTTTTAACAATGCCTGCCACCTGATAGTTGCTTAATAAATATTACTTCAGTAAATAAGTGAAATGGAAACATTTTCTGAGGAAAACTAGGATTTGCACTCCATTGTCTGTAAATGATGATGGATATGAAATAATTTAGGCCGGGTGCAGTGGCTCATCCCTGTAATCCCAGCACTTTGGGAGGCTGAAACTGGTGGATCACGAGGTGAGGAGTTCAAGACCAGCCTGACCAACATGGTGAAACCCCATCTCTACTAAAAATACAAAAATTAGCCAGGCACAGTGGCAAGTGCCTGTAATCCCAGCTACTCGGGAGGCTGAGGTAGGAGAATCATTTGAACCTGGAAGGCAGAGGTTGCAGTGAGCGGAGATTGTGCCACTGCACTCTAGCCTGGGTGACAGAGCAAGACTCTGTCTCAGAATAAATAAATTAAAGATTATGTATTAAGGTTCTGTACTGCCTTTGGGAGATCTAAGAATTAAAAGTAAATACACATGTACAAGGTAATTATATAATTATCACATTTAGTATGTGTTATACAAAAATACAGTGGGCAGAGTATTTCCAGAATTATAAGGAATCTGGGCAAGAGAGGGCTTTATTATAAATTACATAAATATTAAGAACTGCCTTTTTATTTCAATGTGCTGTCCTTTAAACAATCAGAGATGTGTGAAAAATCAAAAGTGCAGAAGTATAGTTAGAATAAAATAATCCACAAAAAGACAGTACTCTAACTGAAATAATTATATTGGGAAATCTCTCCTTCTAGAACTACATTCCAGAAGCATGAAACTACATGGGAAAAGTCTAAACAGAAATAATAAGGAGGTGAAAGGGCTGGGACGGGAAAGGAAGAATGTTAAATTATATGAACTTGGAACTGAAAGGAAAAGGCAAGATGCAAAGAAGCAAAGTGCTATTTTATTTTGCAACAGCCTACCTGTTGGAAAGAGGCCAGATGAAATGACACCTCTAACAACGACTAAGTAGTCGGGCAATGGGAGATTTTAGTTGAAATGACAAGTTCTGACCTGAGGTGCGACTTCAGACTTCTGCAATCTGCCTTGTTTTGACTTTAGGAGGAGAGAAAAATTACTTTCAATAATATAAGCTTCTATCTATAAATGACAGGGCTCAAGAAACAAGACCGACAGGGCAGAAGGAGGAGCAGACCGAAGCATACTGAAAATGTGTAGGTTTTGATTGGCGCGCGCCAGGAGGGCACTCTCCGTCCCCTCGCCTGGGGACGTGAGACATCTCTAGAGGAAGCCCTCGGAGATTCCCGTGAAAATGGGAGGTCCACACGCCCACTCGCGATGACAGAGAGGGCTGCGCAGCCTTGAACACAGAACCAGGCCCAGGTGGGAGTCCGCCGGCGTCTGGAGAGATCTGCAAGATGAAATGGTGTCGGGGCAGCGCGGCCGGAGCGGCGGGGCAGCATGAGGACCTTCTGACCTGCAGGTCTCCCTGCCCGCCGCGCCCGGCCCCCCGGAGACGTTGAGTCTGGGGAAAGGAGGGCCCTTACCCCTGTGCTGCGTGTCTAGCTGCACAGCCGGCATCTCCTTCAGAGGGATGTGGCCGGTCCCGCCGTCTCTGCAGCACGGCAGGCAGCAAAACACCGAGGCGGCCATAGCGCAGGGACCACCGCCGACACCGCCGTCCCTAGTCCGCGGCGACACTGCCCCCCGCCGCCTCGCTCCGCCTCCTACCCCTGCATGAGCGAGGCACTTGTCTGTGTGGAGCTCGGAAGCCGGTAGAGCGACACCCTAGGCCGGGAGGGCGTAATTCAGGCTAAGGGCAGCCTGGCCTGCTAGGAAAACGCGGAGGCTCAAGGGCGGGGAAGGGACCGGAAGGTGCGAGCGGCGGGGCGGGGCCGGGGAGACTGGTGGGGCTACTGGCGTGCGGGGGCGTGGAAGGGGGCGGGGCGGGGCGGGCAAGCTGATGTAGGACGGTGTGCGTTTGCGCACCAGCCGGTTTTTCTCAGGCGGTTTCGCGCACTGCCCCAGCGCTGACAGGTGAGTGGGGCTGTCTGTCCCTCAGTATTCTCAGGGGTTTTCCAATTCAGAATTTTTAAAACGCCGCCCCCTCGTCCCCGGCCTCGACATTATTTCCGGGGACGGATTGACAGAAGCGGATCAGTTTAGGGGAAGGGGAGCTAATGGAAATGACTTCCGAGGTTTCCTTCTGCGCACCCAGGCTGAACAGGCTTTGCCACCACAGTGGCTGGTTTCCCTCACATCCTAAATAGACGCACGAGGGACCCAGGAGTAATGCCTGTTAGTGACCGCACTGTGGATGTGCACATTTTCGGTGCAGAGACGCTCACTACTTGGTCCGTGGGACTGCGTGGTCCCGGGCACGCGGGAGGCCGCCCTGGGAGGGGACGCTGGAGCGGGGGCGGGGCGGGAGTGGCGATTCGTGGCCTGCTTCTTCCAAGTTCCCCCTATCTGGTGCACTGAAGATTCCGAGGGGTGTGACGGGGACCCCCGAGGCTGCGGGAAGCAGGGTGGGTCCCGAGAGACGCCCTCGACTGCTACGGTCAGCTCAGCTCCTTCCTGCTTCCACGTAGGAGGCCGTCACCTGTCATCTCCTTCCCCACTTAGATCATCCTTCTGTGGTAGATTTTACATCTTCAGGCCGGGCGCAGTGGTTCACGTCTGTAATCCCAGCACTTTGGAGCCCGAGGTGGGCGGATTGCCTGAGGTCAGGAGGTCGAGACCATCCTGGCCAACATGGTGAAACCCTGTCTCTACTAAAAACACAAAAAAATTAACCCGGGCGTGGTGGCGCATGCCTGTAATCCCAGCTACTTGGGACGCTGAGGCAGGAGAATCGCTTGAACCCGAGGCGGGGTGTAGGTTGCGTTGAGAAGAGATCGCGCCATTGCACTCCAGCCTGGCGACAGAGAGAGACTCTGTCTCAAAAGAAGGGGGCGGGGGGAGTAGCCGGGTGCGCTGCACGCCTGTAATTCCAGCCACTCAGGAGGCTGTGGCACGAAAATCACTTGAACCCGGGAGGCGGAGGTTACAATGAGCCTAGATCGCGCCACAGCGCTCCAGCTTGGGCAACAGAAACTGTTGTCTCCAAAAAAAAAAAAAAAAAGGATGTAAGTGTAAGATACCACTTGGCGTCCGGAAATGTCTGGGAGGACCTCTAGAATTAACCTGGCTCAAACCTCTCTGTTCCCAGATCAGTTTCGTCCTAAAGGCTTCCCTAGGGATAGATCTTCCTGGGAAACTGGAAGCTCCCACTACTTAAATAATGCGTTCCCATACGTAACTGTTAGTGACCCGAATTGCAAATGTTTTATATCTATAGAATGAGGGAAAATTTTCAGGTTCCTGGTTCTCTTTACTGTCTATACAAATTGTTTTTTCATTATAATCCTAAGGGAAAGTTTTGTACGTTGAAATTAAGTTATCGTAGAATTAATCACCAAGGTATTATTAAACTGGTCGAGGGTTGGTCCTTTCCCCCACTGTGTATACAGTACTTTCTTGGTAATCATTTCACATGTGAAATTTTCTTTTACTGCAAACCTTAACAGTTATGCTGGGAATTAAATGTTTTGATTTTTTCCCCCCCACGGGAAGTGCTGGGGGTGGGGCGGGGGGTGAGAATTTGAACGGAACGTTGGAGGCAGCATTTTTCTACCATATATATATATATATGTATATAGTTGACTTATTTCAAGATTTCAAGGTCAGTATTGTCCCCAATTTATAAGTGAAGAGACAGGCCTAGAGGTACTAAGTAACTTTACAACTTCAGATGAGCAGGAGATAAACAGGCAGGATTCAGGGCTCACCAGTCTGATTCCTGTTAAAATAAAAACTTCAGCTGAACTAAATTTGAAGGAGTTAAATTGAGCAACGAAGGACTGGGTAGCCCCCAGAATCACAGGAGATTCAGAGATTCCAGGGATGCCTCGTGGTTAGAACAAATTTTTAGACCATGAGAGAGAAGCGAGATACAGAAATCAGCAGTGAGGACAGAAACAGCTGGATTAGTTACAGGTGGGCGTTTGTCTTATTTGAACACAGTTTGAACAATCAGCAGTGCATATGACTGGTTGAAGTATGGCCGCTGGGATTGGCCAAGACTCAGCTGATGTTACAGGTGCATACTCCTAAATTAGGTTTTCAAACTTGTCTGCCTATTAGGCTAGGTTACAGTTCGTACACAAGGACTCAAATACAGAAGGACAGAGTCCTTCTCAGGCCGTATTTAGTTTGCTTTAACATTCCTAAGCCAGTATTTGCTACATCAGATCATGCTGCCTCGAAAATTCTGAAGTTCTAACTCTTAATAATTAATGCTATAATCCTCTTAAACATGCTCTCAGTTCAAAATGCAGATTTGACCTTTTTTTGTACATTTCATTTATCTCCACATCGAATGTAAACTGCTATAACTCATGTCTAGACAATAAAATATAACAAAATTAGTTGTTATAAAGTAAAACTTTTGCTCAGAAATATTAAAAGAAGTACATGTATTAAATGTGTAATAAACATTTAGGCCATTCAAGTCAGTCACATCTTCAATGAAAAGCCAGACACTAAATGGCTGTGAATTGGACATTACTGTAGAGAGGCAGAAGGGCCATAGTCTTTCCTGGCTGGAAAAGTAATTTCCTGAGGCGCTGCAAAGTGCACTTTGCCCCCGTCCTAAAACTCGAGTGTGCTCCGCAGCATGAAGTTAGCAAAGCTGGTTAGCTCCTGAAACAGACTTCCCTGTCTTGGCAGGTTAACGCCATCCATGAACTCACTTTTCCTTCTGGTATCTGGGATTCTAATATCCATTCATTATTTCTTTCAAAGGAATTATCCTCTCTCTTTGAAAAGCACAGTGTTAAAGATGTTTTGACAGTCTTTCACAGCTATCGCTTTAAATAACAATCACAAAGCCTAAAAAAAGTTTCTCAAGGTCATTTATCTAAGTCAAAACAATAACCAAGAATTACTACTTCAAAAATGTGGAGTCTGTCTGCTTCCATGACATGCCAGGACTCCAGAACTGAAAACAATAATGTAAAGCTGGTGTTTCAGAGTTGAGATTAACGTTATGCTTAGGATTTTCTTTAACGTTTTTTATGCCAGCCAGACGTCTTCTGTTAGTGAATTTCCCATTCTGTACTCGGTCATACAGAATGAGTTCTTAAAAACTCATTAATCAGTTATTAAACAAAACATTTTTTCTTAGACTAATCCAAACTACATTTGTGATCTTTTAAAAATCAGAAACATTACCAAAAACATTCTTCAAAATCTGACATATTTCTGGAGCCTTGACCAATTCATTATTATAATTTTGAGTAACTAATAGTAACCAACATTTATTTAGTACTTATTATTGTCAGGCTCTGTTCTAAATGTTTTTTTTTTAAATAAACTAATTTAGTCTTTGTAACAACTGTGTAAGGGGAAAAACTATCTTCCACTTTACAGATGAGGAAGCTGAAGGAAAAAAATGTACTCAGTTGCACAGTCAATGAAGGATGAAGCTGAATTCAAGCAGATATTCTGGCTCTAGGGTCTGTGTTCTTAACCACTCTGCAAACTGCCTCCCTAGGGTGTTACATTTAAAAATACATTCCTAATTTGTATTTGTCTCCTTCTATCTTCTTACCTGAGAGATTGACATTTAAATTTACTTGGCATGAATTGTATTCATTTAATTTGGATTTCCTGAATTATACGTTACATTACCTACATTGAGCAACCAAAAATACATAAGAAAAATAACATAAACCTTGTAACTGCAACAGACTGCCGTTAGTTGGTTCTGTTAGTGGTGCTTTTGAATATTTTGCAGGATTGTCCTTCACAGGCTGTCTCTATCAGAAGAAAAGGATATTTAGTACTTTTTTTTCCTTTTTCTTTTTTTGAGACAAGTTCTCTGTTGTCCAGGCTGGAGTGCAATGGCACCACCACGTCTGGCAAATTTTTTGTGTTTTGTATAGAGATGGTGTTTCACCATGTTGCTTAGACTGGTCTTAAGCTCCTAGGCTCAAGAGATCCACACACCTTGGCCTCCCGAAGCCCTGGGATTATAGGCATGAACCACCATGCCTGGCCTATTTAGTGCTTTTTTTTTTTTTTGAGACAGAATCTCACTCTTTTTGCCTGGGCTGGAGTGCAATGGTGTGATGTCAACTCACTGTAGTCTCCGTCTCCTGGGATCAGATTCTCCTGTCTCAGCCTCTCAAGTAGTTGGGATTACAGACACCTGCCACCACACCCGGCTAATTTTTCTGTTTTTAGTAAGGATGCACTTTGGGAGGCTGAGGTGGGCGGATCACCTGAAGTCAGGGGTTTGAGACCAGCCTGGCCAACATAGTTCTTTTAATTGCTAAGACCGATAAGCCAGGTTGGAGACTTGGAAAATACAGACATTTGGCATTAGGAAGAAAAGAAGCTGGGGTAAGATGAAGAAATTTTAAAAGGTACAAAAAAATTAAAATAGCACAACAATTTTTTTAATATTGAAAAAGAAGAAAAAGAAACCAATAGCAAGTGCTACATAAAAAAGGCCCCCGAGAATAAACAATGTGATTTACCAAAAACTTTCAGCCTAGACAAACTGTATGTTATTCTGCTTCCCTTCTATAGAAGATAAAGCAGACTGTCATAAACCAAGGGGATTTCTGTGATCCCTGCCAACCTCAAGTTCTCTTACTCAATATTTCTAAATATATTTTCCTTGCCAATTTAGATTCTAAGTACTACTGTGGCAATCATAAGGGAAAAAAGATGCTGAGGCTACAAAAGGGAGTCAGAGAAAAGGTCAAAACCAAAATAGTTTTTGCATTTACAAAAGAAATAAAGGAAGATGAGGATAAGTAAAATTAGTCCTTGGATCTATGTTCCTTATTATAGGAAGGCATTTAAACCTGTGACTTAGTAGAAAGGGCTGATGAGAAGAGTTTTGTACAAGGTTTTCATGGCTAAAGATAAAAGCTGCATAATCTGGTATTATGAGAAAAAGGCTGGAAAACACTTAGCTGTGCCAA